GATACAAAAAATTGTTCTGACAAGTACAGCCCACACTTTACGAAGGGCTTTATCTATGTAATTTAATTTTTTTTTTTTTTTGCCAGTGGAAAGTGTCATGACGCCATTTCTATCCTTAGGTCCCTGGGCGGGACCCGGAAAGAAATGTGTAAACGACAGAAATCAAAGAAAATAATAATAATAATAATAATAATAATAATAATAATAATAATGATCAAAGCTAATCGACCAGACATCGTGATCAAAGCCCTCAAAAACAGAAAGTGCTTATCTTACTGACATGACAGCTCCTGCAGACTGTAATGTATCTTTGAAGATCTTCTAAAATCTATAAAAATACAATGCTCTTGAAGTTGCCCATGAAGACAATTCCAGTTATGGTTGGATCCTTCGTTAAATTTTTATTTTGTGGAAAAGATTCTAATTGACTCTGAAGGGATGCTTGGTAGCACATGTCTTAAAGAAACAAACAAAAACAAAAAAAAACAAAAAAAAACCCCAAAAACAAAAAAAAAACAAAACAAATACTGTTCTCATGAGTACAGCTCCCACCTTACGATGAGCTTTATCAGCAATAATCTTAAGAAAATAAAAGTTAAAAGGAAAAAAAAGAAGTAAAAAAAAACAAAGATTTAAGGAATGGATTAAAGAAAATGAAGAAAAAAAGAAAAACAGTTTGTGTGAAGAATTTTAATTTGATTGATTCGTTTTTACGGTTTATCAACCCTTTGCCGCTTATTTAAAGCCAGAAAATACTTTTAGAGAATTTTTTTTGGTTGGGGAGGATAATAATGGTATAGTGATACAAGTCTTACTAATTAATCCATAGCTGGGGGATAAATGGTAGTTTCATATCATTCCCAATGGTATTTGAGCGTAAGTATAACGAACCCAGTGGGATTTGGAATTCGACTCTTCAGTTAACAATTCCGAGCCATTATCGATTACATACCCCGCACATCCTACCTTACGGAACATGGTATTTCCAGGAGAATTTCAAGAAAAATAAAATACAAAATGGAAACATGACTAAGCAAAAGAAAGAAATGAAAAATGTAAAAAAGTGAAAAAGTAAAAGGTTAAAGAGGAGAATGAAAGAGAAGGGGACAAATAAGATTTAGAATAATCGTTAAGGTAATGGTAATATTAACTGTTTCCCTATAAGGAAACATCTGGCATCCATTTAGCGGGGAACGCTAATGCTACTTTCGGTTGAAGTTTAGAAAATATTTCTCGTAAAACAATTTTTCGGGAAAATAGGTTTTTCAAGTCTAGTAGATGTTAATATTTAACAACCCCGACTCCTAATGAGGGATCTATGTAGCACAAGGCCGAGTTTAACGTGGGTTCTCTGAGCCCGTAGGCTCGGCCAAAAATATTCCCTTAGAACTTGCATAAACGGGTTCAGGGTCTGTCTACCTCCCCGGACGAAACTTTGCCCTTCGGCAAAGCCTCGTCCGGGTTCCTCTTCGCTCAAGGCAGAGAGTTCGACAGTTGAACAATCTGGTCGACTGTTTCAAAAAAAAAAGAAAAAAAGTCCAGTAGCTGTTATCACTCTTGCAGCACAGATGGAAATTTCCTTCCTAACCTTTTGTTTGAAGTAGTGTGGAAGTCCAACATTTAAGAAAGTTAAATAAGAGCTGAAGAAGATTTGTAGAATATTAAGAAAAGAAGAAGAATAAGAAGTAGTAGTAGTAGTTGTAGTAGTAGTAGTAGTAGAAGAAGAAGAAGAAGAAGAAGAAGAAGAGGAAGAAGAATCTCAAGGAAAGAAATGTTAAAAGAAAATGCCAAAAAAGGAAAAGATGGCAAAGGAAACGAAGATTAAGAAGGAAAATAATAAAAGAAAATAAAAAAAAAATAATAAAAGCTCATAGATTCGCCTCTTGATTAACATATCGACTATGGTGAATGTTGAACAGAGGTCATGTGGTCAGAAAGAGAACGTTCTAACGAATCGGCCACACACCCAGCAAAAGCGTTTATGATATCGATAATAGTAATGGTATATTGGCCAGAAGTGAGTTATCAAAGCGGGACAGGACGACGAGGGTGAAATGGAGGTTTGTTCCCAATTTTGCCCAGTTACAGTTAATAGCAGCTTTTTATCATGAAACTTGAAGTCTTCGTAATTTCCTATTTGTGCCGAAATTGCATCTTTTCCTCACCGGCTCCTTAAACTTGGAAGGCTTCAAGCTCAGACTTCGTAACCCAAATTATCTGACTTCTCATAATTCTTTCTTTGCTTTGTCAATAGGGTACCACCCAAGGGCCCACGCCCCACTAATTTCAACCACCTACCCAAAGTCGGTTCCTTCACGAGAAGTTAATCTACTTTTTTTGTAATTATTTCGTTCCTTTGGTTTTTGTTTTTTTGGTTTTTCTTTTTAGATTTCACAAAAAGTCTTTTTTCTTTAACATATATATATATATATCTTTTCTTGTTATCTTTTGTTTAAGAATAGTTGATTTCCTTCCGTGTTCGGTTTTCTCATATTGTACATTTTTTAAATTACACAATTTTTATGTCCTCCTAAAACCGTTATGTCGCCTTTCATTTATTTTATTTTTATCAAAGGGTTCTTGACATGACTTATATATATATATAATTATATATAAAGTATTACATATATATATTTCTCTTGACATATATAATTATATATAAGTATATATATATATATATATATATATATATATATATATATAAATATATATATATATATATATATCTTGACATATATGTATAATCATATATATATATATATATATATATATATATATATATATATATATATATATATATATATATATCTTGGCATATATATATAATTATATATAAAGTACATATAAAGTATTATATATATATATGTATATATATCTTGATATATATATATATATATATATATATATATATATATATATATATATATATATATATATATATTTCTTCGGTTTTAGTCCTCTTTATCATCATTTTCTTTTTTTCTTTCTATTTTAATTCGCCATTTTTCCTGTTTTTTTTGTCTTTATCCTTGTCTGATATTGTCATTATTCTTTTTGTTGACGCTTTTTTTTTTCGAATCTCTTACCTTATTTTTCCTTCATGACCTTCATTCATGTTCCTTTTCATTTTCCCTTTTAGGATGGTTTCCATTTTATCTTTCTTGATATTTTTTCACGTTTTTCTTTCCCGTTATCTTTTTAACGTTTTTTTTTTTTTTTTTTCATTTTTTCTTTTTTTTTTCCATTTTTCATTTTTTTCTTTTTTTCATTTTTTTCTTTTTTTTTTCATTTTTCATTTTTTTTTCCATTTTTTTCCTTCCTTTCTTTTTTCATTTTTCTTTTTTCAAATTTGCTTTTTTTTCATTTTTTTCATTTTTTCTTTCTTTTTTCATTTTTTTTCTTTCATTTTTCTTTGCTTACCTTTTCGTTTTTGGTTACTTTTCAATTTTTATATATTTTTCATTTTTTATGCCATGACATTTTTATCTTCCTCTTTCCTTTCGCAAAGATAATTCTTTCTTTCTTTCTTTCTTTCTTTCTTTCTTTCTTTCTTTCTTTCTTTCTTTCTTTCTTTCAATAAACGTTTTCTTTGTCTTTTTCTTTATTCTTTTTGTTCTTTTATTTTATTTTTCCATTTCTGTTGTAATTTTCTTGTTTTCTTCTTTCACGTTTATTCCTTTTCCATTTTCTCCCCATCCCCCGACAAACCACAGTGATTGTCTTCGGTAATCATTTTCCTATCATGGCCGATTATTTTTCTGGTTTTCATTCCTGCAATGATTATATTTAGCTATCGTCTTTTAAGTTATTTTTCTTTCATTTATTCAAACTTGCTTGTTCCTCTCCTAATAAATCCTTTTTGTATCTGTTTGTCTTCTAACATCTCATTCATTTTCTTCCTTCGGGTTCACTTCGTTTTATTTTATTCCTTCATGAAAAATTTCTTTGCGTTTTCATGAAAAATTTTCTTTACTTTTTTTTTGTTTTTTTTTTCACCAAATTTAACAATTTTTATTTTCCGCTAAACTGTTTTGCGCTTTTAATTTCCCAAACTTAGCCATTTCTCACCTCTCGTCTTTTGCTTTCATTTTTATTTTGTACTCACTTCTTTTTCAGCCATTTTATTTTATCTTATTTCTTTCCTTTCGAAATTTTTTTTATTGCTTCCTTGTGAACAAGATTGACCCTGCTGTATTTTTTGGCAATTTTATTGTATTACATTTTTCATTTTCTTTATTTCTCCTGATTTTTTAATTCTGCAAACTTATTTAGTCTTAATTCTTTACTACTAGACATTATTCATCGTTTCTATTTTATCGTTTGGCACGCTTCTCCTTTCATAATTTCTTAATATTTTCTTTAGCTTTGCTTATTATATTTCTTTTATTCTTTGTCTTCTGCTTTTTCATTTGGTTCGGCATCATTCCTTCCATTGTTTCTTACAATCTACAATTCTCTTATTTCTTTCATTTATTCATTTCTCATTTGTTTCACCTTCTTTTTCGATTAATTCTTACTATCTACAATTCTCTTATTTCTTTTATTTGTTCATTTTTCATTTGTTTCCACTTTTTAATTCATTCTTTCTTACTATTTTTAATTCACTTATTTTTTTCATTTTTCCTTTACTTTTTCATTCATTCTTTCTTAATCTCTACAATTTTCTTATCTCTTTCATTTATTTATTTTTCCTTTCTTACACATTTTTTCTATTATTCTTTTTTTCTATCTACAATTCTCTTCATTTATTCATTTATTCATTTCTTTCCCTTTCTTTTTCATTAATACTTTCTTAATGTGTACAATTCTCTTATTTCTTTCATTTATTCATTTTTCATTTTCTTCTTTTTCTTCTTCATTTATTCTCTCTGACTATTTATAATTCTCTGATATCTCTCATTTATTCATTTTTCATTTATTTCTCGTTCTTTTTCCTTCATTCTTTCTTACTATCTACAATTATTTTATGTCTCTCAGTTATTCATTTTTCATTTGTTTCACTTTCTTTTTCATTCATTGTTTCGTGATATTTAAAATTCTATTATTTCTTTCATTATTTCATTTTTTTCACGCTTCTTTTTAATTCATTCTTTCTTATTTTCTCTTGCATTATTTCTTTTTATCTCTTTTTATTTTTTACGTTTGTGTTCAATTCTATTTCTTTCATTCTTTCCTGCTATGTTCTTTTGTGTCTTTTCTTTCTTTCTTTTCTCGACCTTTTTCATTTTCACGCTTTTTCTCTTTCATCCTTTCTTATTACTCACTTGACTTTGTTAAGCTACTTTACTTTAGCCTTTCCTATTTTTTGTCTTCTTCTCTTTTTCTTTCAATCTTTTCTTCAATCTTCGTCGTTTGCCTTTTTTTCTTTCGTGCTCTTTCATTTTTCTTTTATTCCTTCCTTCCATCGTTTTTGTTATTCGCTTCCTCCTTTTTTTTACTTTTTTATATCCTCTGTTATTTTATTTCTTCTTCTTTTTCTAGATATAATCTTTTCACTGTTCCTTTCGTTCTGTCATCTGAAAGTTTTCTTTTTTTTACCATTTTTTTCTTCCTATTTCTTCTTTTGCATTCTTCCTTTCTTCATTCCTTTCTTTCCTGATTTCTACTTCATGCTTTTTCCCGTTCTTTTATCTTTGGCTTTTCATGGTAGCTTCTTTCTCTTTTTATGTCATTCTTTCATTTAATCTTTCCCACCGTTTTTTATTTATTTATTTATTTATTATTATTATTATTATTATTATTATTATTTCTTCTTCTTCTTCTTCTTCTTCTTCTTCTTCTTCTTCTTCTTCTTCTTCTTCTTCTTCTCCTCCTCCTCCTCCTTCTTCTTCTTCTTCTTCTTCTTCTTCATTTTACTTTTCTGCTAGTTCTAAACCTTATCCTTTCTCTTCCCTCAACTCTTTTCATATTTGTGTTTCCATGTCAACCGTATGTAACTCCGATAAAGTATTATTTTCAATATTTTCATCGCTTTCTTTTCAGCTTCCTCTCTGACATTATTATCATCAAGATTTTTCTTCATATAAGACGTCATATCTAATGAACGTTCTCCATTACGGTTTACGCATGGCTTTTAACACCCAAAGCGGAATGACCCTTAGGCACACTGCAAACCAATAATTACAATAAAACGTATCTCAATTACTTCGCATTGGGTCTGAACAACAACTATGCGGATGAAGGGTGAAAGAAAAAGGTTTGGCGTTATCTGTCGACTCGAGTGATTCGCCATGTTGTTCTCCGCTGTAGGAAGACGCTAACCTGTGAGTCAACCGCCGCTTATGTAAATGAAAAAAACAAAAAAACAAACAAAAAAAAAACAAACAAAATTTTGAAGAAATGAATGTGTCAGGTGGCCAAAAGAAGCCGCTTATGTAATTCTTCCACCGACTTCAAGACAGCAAATTGCTTAGTAAAAAGTGTTGATTGGTTTGGTTTATTTTGATTTACGGCATATCAAAATCAATGGGTTATTTAATGCCAACATATTTTTAGGATAGGTTCGTAAGAATAGAATATGCATTCTTTGCAAGAAATCATTTTGTAGACCAGGGTTTGAGTTTATTTTGTTTTACGGAATATCAACACCTCAATGCTGACAGGATTTTTAGAATCTTATGAATAGAACACGTATTCTTTGTAATGAAGCAAATTTGTAGATCAGAGTTTGGGTTTTTTTTTTTTTATTTTACGGTATATCAACGGTCATTTAATGCTGACAAGATTTTTAGGATAGATTCGTATGAATCTATCCTAAAAATATCCTCATGTATATTAAAAAAATATCCTAATGTATTCTTTGTAAGAAATATGTCTGTAGATCAGGTTTAATTGACATATTTTTGTTAAAAGGCTTTTTATGGAAAATAAAATGTATTGCTGGTAATATTTTTCTTCAAACATGTATTGCTGGTAATATTTTTCTTCAAACATATATTGCTTGTAATATTTTTATCAAACATGTATTACTCTTATTTTTACTATAAAAATCTATTTTTATTTTTTCATAGCGTTTTGACCATAGCTTGAGAGTTGAGTATTTGCTCATAAATGGGATCATAACAGGTGCTACCACCCCGGGTCAGAGTGGACCTGGTAATAACAGCAATTAAGACATGATTCCACGCTCCTCAAAATCTGTCGATCAAAGAGGCCTTCCTGCTAGATGTAGTTTAACGTCATCTTCAAGAAGCAAAAGTGTTGAATGAAGAGTTAACGAGAAAGCAGCAACAACAGTAAAATTCTAAGACTCTTCTCAATGCGAACGAAAAACAAAGAAAAAAGTGAACATTGTGGATGTGAATCAGTCGATTTCATGCAATAGTAGTAGTAGTAGTAGTAAATCTACAACATAGATCTCACCTAGTTTTCCAATGACTCCCCACCTCATTGCATCTGCCCTTTCCTTTCGCTATTCCATTGCGCCCTCGGATATCAGTGTCATATTTTACATCGTCTTGTTCTCAAAGTGATCTTTTCTGCCTGCAATCAGCATGGCTGATGCTAACCTCCAAGAGAGCAACGCCTTCTTAGGCTCGCGTTTTTCCCTGACATGAATAGAAGCAACGATATACAATGAATTACTACGTCCGCTGCTAGGAAATTTGGTTCTCTGTGTCGTGGCACAACAACATTGCCGTCAGAATTCATCTTACACAGTTATAAATCTAACATTCGTCCATTCATTGCCTAGAGTTGCCATATCTAGTCTGGGTCTCCTGTTCTGTATCGCGAGATTCTTGACAAAATACAAAGTGGGGTCTGTAAAATAATCCAACCTGGCCGGGTTTCTCGTCTACAGCCAATTTCTAACCGACTTTACCAGGCTTTTTCATGGCAGCTGTTTTGATGAGCTTTTTGACAGGTGCATTGTCTGCATGAATTTATGCGTACTAGTAAATGGTAACTAGGGCTCACCGTCTTAGTGGCATTATCGCCTTGCTTGCTGTGAAACGATTAGAAAAATACCTATTTAACCGCAATAAATTTCAAGTTAAACAACCAAGGTAGAATCAGTGTTTAATGGTAGGGAATGAGGTAACGTGTAGCCTCTGAGAAGTTTGGTTATCGTGACTACAGGCGTTTCTGTAAAAGTGTGTTGCATAAGACTAAGTATTCTATCCCTCTTCTTCTCACCCAGTTTGATGTATTAATAGCTTCTACTGATAAACAGAACAATAAGACAAAATTTACTAAGATCAACAAAGGAAAGGAAATTGTGGAGAACCATGATCACCTAAGTCTTCAGGGGACACAAAATATGAAGAAGAAGAAGAAGAAGAAGAAGAAGAAGAAGAAGAAGAAGAAGAAGCGGATGAAGAAAAACATGATCTTTAAATTCTACTTTTAATTCATCTGGAGTGTCCTTGCTTGACTTTGCACTTACAACTGTGTCTCTGTTGAGTGATATGCATATAACTCTGTTCATAGTTTCTGCTATCATTTCTAAACTGGCCCCTTACAAATCATGTGAACTTGATAGTATCCCTGCAGTAGTCCCGACATCCAGATAGCAACAAAAACATGAGGTAGACAGATCCCAACAAAAAAAGACAGGTTCAAACACTACTGGACGGTTCATTCTCTTTATTAAAGCTCTCAAATACACAAGCTGGTAGACATAAATTTATACTGTTTAAAAAAACACTTGTATCTACCAAATATAATGTTTAAAGTACTAACAAATAATGATGGATTATCGATAAAATTCATCAATTCTTTAGAAATACGGATTTGCGTAGTTGGAAAATAATCTCCAAAAAGGTTTTAATAAAAATTAATCCCTCTAAAAAATCACTGAATAAATTAGCCTTTGACTTCTTTTTGGCAAAGTATAAAAGGCTCTAATCAACTCTTAATTGGTTAAACATCTCACCTCACAGCATCTTCTTTCAGAAGCTGTCTCTTCTCTAGTTCAACTATTGATGTGTGAACAGTTATTGTGAGAAAGAATCTATCAAGCTTTAGATACGAATGTTTGGATCGTAGATTCTCTTTAAATTTTACTCTTGACTCATCTGGAGTAACTTTGCCTGACTTTCCACTTAGAACTGAGTCTCTATTGAGTGATATGCATATAACTCTGTCTATAGTTTCTGCTATGATCTCTAAACTGAATAAATCATGTGATCTTGATTGTATCCCGAAAATAGTCTTTATGAAATGTGCTCTTGGAACTGGCTCCTGTTCTCTCTAAACTCTGCAATAAATACCTTGCTGTTTCTTACTTTCCTGCTTGTTGGAAATCCTAATCTATAGTTCCAGTCTTTAAGAACTCAGGTGAACCACCTGATCCTTCTAACTATTGGCCTATTAACCTTCTACCTCTTTTTGGCAAAGTACTAGGGGCTCTAATTAACTGTGAATTGGTCAAGTATCTCGTCTTGCATGGTATTCTTTCAGATAATCAACAGCTGATGTATTAACGTTTATTGCTGAAAGACTTTATCAAGTTTTAGATAAGAATGGTGAAGCTCGGGTTATTGCTTTGGATATCTTCAAGGAATTTGACAAGGTTTGGCACATTGTTCTTCTTCACAAGCTGAAACGTTATGGCATTTCTGGAGGAATGTTTTTAACTGATACAGTCTTCCTTATCGAATCGCGAAATGAAAGTTGCTTGAATGTCTACTCTTCTTGATTAATGCAGATGTCACAAAGAACTCTATCATTTGACTGCGCTGTTCTAAATTTTCATCAACGAACTTTTTGATAGCATCAGTTCTTAACTCTCTATCTCTTCTGATGACACAACTATTTATTCCTGTCTAAATAGTAAGTCTGATCAGTTCGACGAGGTCAAACTAGTAGCTGATCTAAAAAACAATATACATTCTGTACTAAATAATAGTTTCAGACTATTATATTTTAACGGTAGTGCATTTTCATCCTGACCTTCTGAAACTGACCTTTAAGGTCAGATGGTAGACAAAATAGGGATGTCGATTTTGATTGTTTGAGCCGAACATGGAAATGTTCGAGAGATAAAAAGTGATTTCAGGGAGTTAAGTTTTTACACGTCATACACAGTAGACGTGGTTATTTCGTATGTCGGGGAACTTGATCCCTAGTGGTGGTGGTGGGGGGATAATAAAGCCACCCCCTAGTCTAGTTAAAAATGTACACGTCGACGTGTTTAATAAAATAGATAAGTTTTCAAATTCACTTTGTTGATATCTCTTTTATCTCTGGACTTCAAAAACATTTCGACACCCGGTCAGGAGAAGACGAGCGACAGAAATAACATTATCATTATGGAAAGACCGCTCCAGAACGAAGGGGGTATACAGCATTTTTTTATTTGGCGTAGTAGCTGTTATGACAATTTACCCACGCATGCATTGACTCTCCCAGATATAAATAGGAGCAGGTACTGCCTTCTGGAGAGGGAAGTTTCCAGCAGTCAGCTCTGATAGTTGGACCGAACGTTCTTGCTGTAACAATCTTGTTTGTATATGATTTGTATTACTGTTTCTGTTAATATATTTGTTAAACTCAATTCCCCACTTGTGTCTTTATTTCTGGCTCCTAACATGGCCACAACTTTAGCTTATTTCCCTTTAAATCAAATCTCCAAGTTTTGGATCACCACTGCTGTGGGCTGGTATTGAACTCACAACTCGTTGGGTCACTGGATCAAACCAACATTTTTATCAAGGACACATGTCCCAGTGGATAAAGACGTTGGTTAGATCCAATGACTACACTCATATAAAGGGTTCGATTCGAAATTCCAATCACCTGAAGAAGGCCGGAGCGTACAACGGTCGAAACGTCATTAATATGGCAATGAAAATGAGGACAACAGTAACTAAGCCTGCCACATCAGTAGCCAAGACTTCAACAGGGTATACAAAATCTGTTGTTAACTGGAGCAAAGAATGGTTTGTTAATTTTAACGCTTCCAAAACAAAACTGCTCTCTATTAATCGTCTGTGAGACCCCTTTTTGTCTTCCATCAGAATGGCTGATGCTAACCTCCAGAAAAGTGACTCATTGCGTTTTCTAAGGATAACGTTTTCGACTGGCATGGAGCGGAAAGATTATACTAAATCAAGTGCTAGATCTGCTTCAAGGAAAATTGGTTCATTGTGTCCAGTATATTTAACCAGTTTGCCAATCGTCCATGATTTGAATAGTGCTGCCACATATGATCTGATGTTCTTGTTACATATCTAGAGATACATAATTCAAATATTAATCTGCAATATTACTGGTCCTGATCTATCAACTCAGAAGTCTTCCTCTTGCCCACCGCCATAATATCGCCCACCGCCATAATATCGCTTTTATTTCCCTTTTCTAGATATGCTTTTATGGAAATTCTTCTGAGGATCTTTTCTCTTTGCTGATTAGGTTTCATAAATTTAAGAGCGGTATTAAATTAGCGGCAATGTCTGATGCTTTTAGGCTACATGTTTCCATTCGTTCTGTGTTAACAGTTCATTTTCTCACACTGGCTTGTGGAACTCTCCTGACTTTTTTGCTAACCAGTCGAGTTTTATCGTCCAAAATTTAAATGCAATGTCATTCGTTATCTTTGTCTTTTTTAATTTCTGTTATTAGATTGTTCTTGCTCCTTAATAATCTTTTTCTTATATTCTTTCACACTCGGTAACCTCTTTTTTTGTCCCTTAACCTTTCCAAAATGCTATCTGATACTTTGGGCATAAAGGAATGCTGAAAAGATTATCTATCTATCTATCTATCTCACTCGAAAAAGTATTCTTTTTTATTCTCTGTCTGTCTGTGTGTCTGTCTGTCTCTATGCCAATTTATCTATCTGTCTGCAGACTCTTCCTTCCTTCTTTCCTATCTATCTATCTATCTATCTATCTATCTATCTATCTATCTATCTATTCACACACACGCACTCATACACCCACGCACTCACAAACCCACGCACTCATACACCCACGCACATATTGTTGACAATGTTAGCTTTTTTTTTCTCATAGGTCTGTTCATTATTTCCTAATAATACACGTCTGTCATGTTCTTGTACCAGATTTTGCGTATGTAATAAATTTTGTTTCCTATCGCAGTCCATGTTTAGTAAAGCATAATCTCAGACCTATACAATAGTGATGGGTGTTCGATCCTGACTGACAATAAATAACGAGGTAGCCAATCTATAGAATAAATTAATTTCGAGAACCATTATTATTATTATTATTATTATTAAGATTAATCCACACTTCGTACCCTTTAAGAGTAACCTTGTACTAAATCTGCGCGTCTTGTATAACTCTATTTTGATAGTTGCGCGTGATTTTTCTCTCTACTACGAATACGTATACGCGTATACTTAGGCATTCTGCATGCATTACATACAGACGCTAATCGAATCTCCGTAAAAATAAAAAAGGAAGAAAACTCCCGCTGATACTAATTCCCGGCTTTTGTAGTACGGTCAACGCAGGTCTTGACCCTCAACATATTTCCGTCTCTTGATCCGATCACTATTTAAGACCACACGTCATCTTTGCTGCCATGAACAC